TGTGTGTATGTTCAAGGGACATACCGAGTGGCCGTTGATGTATTTGGTGACGGAGTGGATGACGATGTCGGCTCCATGGTCAAGCGGGTTCTGGATATAGGGGCTCAGGAAGGTATTGTCCACCACAACCTGGATGCCGTGCTGGTGAGCAATGGTCGCAACGGCGCGGATGTCCACGAGGCCCAGGGTCGGGTTGGACGGAGACTCGATCCAGATGAGCCTGGTCTCGTTGGGGCGGATCAGCTTGGCCACGTCGGTCTCGATAGTGGGCGTGAAGGTGACCTCGACGCCGTGGGCGGCCGCGACCTTGGTGAAGTATCTGTGGGTGCCGCCGTAGACGTCCGAGATGGAGACGACGTGGGAGCCGCCGGCGAGCGACTGGAGGATGTTGGCGGTGGTGGCAGAGCCGGAGGAGAAGGCGAGCGCATAGCGGGCGTTCTCGAGGCCCGCAACGGCGGCTTCAAAGTTGTCTCTGCGGCGCAGTGTCAGCTCGGGAGTCTCTCAGGCAGCGCAGGAGGACTCAATGGATTGCGTCTGCAGCGTCGACGGACCTGTTGGGGTTGGAGCTTCGGGTGTACTCGTAGTCGCCGATGGGCTTGCCCAGGCTGTGCTGTATGAAGGTGGTCGACAGGGAGATCTATCTGGACGGTCAGCAGCCCGCACGGCACAAAGACTATAGAGCAGCAGCAGCAGCAGGACTTACGGGAGCAATGACGGCGCCGGTGGTCGGCTCGATGGGCGCGCCGGTGTGGACGGCTCTGGTGCCAAAGCGATGGACGGGCGACGGCGCTCTGGGGGGCGTCTCGATGGTCGCTTTCTGCTCCTGCTGGGCGGGCAGCACGCTCGAGGGGGAGACGGTGGTGGCCATTCTGCTGCTCTATACTATGACACTGACAAAAGGATATTATATTGATCTAGGAATTTATTGATGGAGGATGAGTCTGGTCTGGTACTTGCGACGGGATAGCCGACGGTTTATATAACTATACAAGCTGCTTAAAAATAAGGGAAAAATTCAGAGAAAAAACCCGAACCACGGATGCAAAACACTTTGCTTTTGATATCCACCCAGGGCCGTCTCAGTTGTCAACCCTGGGTAAAATGTCTATTTCTCCGGGCCGTATTCTTGCTGGTCCGTCGAGTTACAGCTGCAGGGTCGCTTCGGCCGCAGACTCTCTGTTTCTAATCCCCCATATTAATAATAGTGGTGGCTGCTAGGAGAAGTCCGTCAAGGCGACCGAGATATCGTCAAAGAAAGCGAAGATTCCGACATCAACAGCCGCACAGGGCGGATTTCTAAGCCAGTCGCCCTCTATCGTCATCGAAAGCCACCGCGGGGCAAGGAGCAAGAGAGAGGGCCAGCAAAGGCGCATCACGGCAGGATTAGCGCACACTTGGCAGGCCGCTTGTTGGAGGTGGGAGAGGGGAAGATAGTTGATGCGTGGGATGTCGAGTTTTCCGATAGGCTGCTCGAACGGATCTTTGATGCGCACAAAGTCGGCTTGATGAGTGCGAGGTGGGCGGCGATGCAGGCCAATCCATGCTCTTCAAAACCGAGCCGAGACGGTGACTGTCAGATCCATGTATGAGATGTCCGTCGATGCTGGGGAGACGCAGGCCGGGCGAGGGGAAGCTGACACCCGCATATTTTCATGCTCTTTCTGGCTAGCTGAAGGGACCAAGCTGAAGGGCGTCGTTGAAATGCACCAGATCACGACCACCAGGCTACCAGACCAAGACCAGCAACTTGCATTGAACCCTGGGGGCTGTTAGTATTGTAGACATAAATATAAATATAATTATACGGTGTAGAAGGTTGACATACGATGATCGAGTAGGGAGGCTTTCGGTCCGGCGTTGCGAGCCCGTCCTGCAGATCGGGGCCGCTGGGGACCTGGTCGTGCCATTCCTCTTGCTCGACCCGGAAGCGGACAGTCTCGCCAACGTCGAAGTAGAAGATGCCTCCCTCGCCGTTGTCCCATATCCAGACCTGGTCTTTCATGTCACTGTCGACTATTATTAGCAGTGGACAACCATATAACAACTGTAGGAGGACATACAATCTAGCACCGTCCAGCAGCAGGTCTGGAGGGACGATGATGTCGTTGAAGAACTCAACTCCAACTGCTCGTCGTTAGCATCTTCACCGTCAATATCACTATCGATATCAAAATGGGCTGTTCCCGTACTTTTAATGCCTTGCTCTGTTCCATTCGTGATCTTCCCGATGATGACTTCTCCCTTAAACGGCCGAAACACGATGATCCGGAATTTGACTACTATCAATCAGCAATTCGATGCTTCAATTGATATACCAACGTCTTATGTCTGCATCTGCGTCTCACCGTTGACGTTGACCAGGCCTGTTCCATGGCCGATCAGCCCGTCCGAGGACTCCAGCAGGTCATAGAAGGCGATGCAAAGGCCGACATTCTGAATGACCTGGACCTCAGTTAGCCTGCCATCCGCATCTATCACCTATCGACCTTGCACGACTCGCCTTGTTGGCGTATTTCTCGTTGATGTTGTCCTCGATAGCGACTGCGCTGAGCTTCGAGAAGTCCTCTGGCGAGATCTGCACCAGGTCCGAGATGGTTGTCTACTCCAGTAAGCATAAGCAGGCATAAAGCAGGCTTCAAACAGCATCACTCACGAGGATGAACATGATGGCAGCTCTGTGCAGGGTATAATAACTGGTGGTATCAAATGGCTGCTCCTCTGTCGTTGCTTGTGGATGTTGAGGTCAATTCTTTACCAGCAGGAAGAACCCCTCCAAGGCCATAAAAATAATAAAATAATAAAATAAAATAACTGACCAACGTCAACCAACGACAGACAGCAGCATGACCAGGACTATGCAAGCAAGATCAGATCAATTGAACGAAAGTAACAAAATATATATCGATTAAATTGAATAAAATTATTTCTTTTGCGAATTTTGGATCTGAAGAGCCTCAACACGGAAGAATATTCTTCCTGTATTTTTCTCTGGCGGCCCGTCGAGACCTTCAAAAGATGAGACATCATTGACAGTGTTTTGGATAGAAGAGCTGCAGAAACTGGCGGAAGAGGCGAGAGACAGGGTCCTTGACAGCTGAGAAGACGGATATACCCTTTGATTCCGTGGTAGAGAGGTCGTTGGCGTGGACGTGAGAGGTGAGTTGGTCGTGTGAAGTGAAGCTTCAGATAGCTCTGAGATAGCTTGAAAGTCTTAGCTATAGCAGCCAGCCGTTTTGATGGACATGGACTGACGCTTGAACAGGGCTATTACTGCGTACAGACGTATATACCAGGCGTGGACTGGAGATAATAGAGCCTACGAGGACGTTACTGTGACTAGACGAGCGAGATAAAAGGGGATATCGAAGCACTGATGTCGGGCTTCTCGTTCCCTCCTCCTCCTCCACCTCCGCCGCCCGCACAGCCCTCACAGCCGACGTATAACAACTCGTCGAGAGGCGGAGGCGGAGGCGGACGAGGGAACTCTCACCATCGAGGACGTGGCAGAGGCAATGGACCTCGACGGGGCGGCCGAGGTGGTGGATATGGCGGTGATATGAACGCTTCATGGGGGTACACACCACCGCACCAGCACCAGCCGCAGCACCTACCAATGCATCCTAACCAGGGAGCATATGCATATGGGCCACTACCGGGCTATGGGGGGCCACACGCACCAGCACCACCACCGGCACCAGCACCGGCACCTCCTCCGCAAACGATGCATTTTGGTCCACCGCAGGGGGGATATCTACCTCCAGCACCAGCATATGCAGACTCCAGGGCCTGGACCTTTAACCCAAAGCAAACCTACACTGCTCCGGCGTATCAACGACCACATCAGAAGCATACGCATACACAGGCACCAACACATCGACCACCCAAACGACAACACGACACGGCCTTCACCACCGCACCACTGCCAGTGCCGAGTTTCAACACGCTCCCTTCCAAACCACCGCCAGTCCAAGCTCAGACGAAAGGTCAAGCGAACCCCGCGCGACCCCGCAAGCAGCGCAAACACAACCAGCTAGGCCTGACGCCCAAGACGGAAGAGCATGAGTCGAGCGAGTCTGAGGCTGAAGATGTGGACGAAGAAGCTAAGCTTGCGGGGCTGCTGACCAAGGGAGAGCTGAAGTTCAGCTACCGGGGGCGAACGTCTACGCTAGGCTCTACGGCAGAAGTACAGGCGTGGATTGAGGAGAGAAAACGGCGGTTCCCTACGCAGGCAAGGGTCGAGGAGCGGAAGAAAGAGGAAGAAGCTCGCAAGGCAGCGAAGAAGCAAAAGGACGAGGAGATGAGGAAGCAGAGAGAAGAAGCAAAGAAGAAACGAGAGGAAGAGAGGAAAAAGAGAGAGGCTGAAGCAGCAGAAGCAAAGAAGGCCAAAGAGAAGGAAAAGCAGCAGCAGAAGAAGGGTGATGCTAGCGACGTGGCTGCCCGAGCGAAGATACGAGCGGACAAGCTGCGCGAGAAGCTGGCGAGACAAGAGCGAAAGCTTGCGCAGGCCGAAGCAGCTGCCGCCAAACAGCAGGCGGCCGCCGAAGCTGAAGTTGAAGCCAGTGCTGGAGCCGGAACAGCCGCTGCAGCAGGCCAAACAGCAGCGGGAGATCAAGCTCAAGCTCGGGTCAAGCCAGACGGAGATGAAGCAGTGGCATCGACTACGACGACACCTAGCCTACCAACGGCAACGGCAATCGCACTACTACAAGATCACACGCCAGTCGCAGCCGGCGCTACGAAGACGCTAGCCCCGGACTTGGGCAACCAAGCTTCGGGCGCTGACGACGACAGCGGAAGTGATAGCACGACCAGCAGCGAAGGTGAAAGCGAAAGCGAAAGTGAAAGCGAGAGCGAGAGCGGCAGTGACAGTGACGGCGAAAGTGACAGCGGCAGCCAGCCGGAGCAGACAAGCTCTCGCCGCCAGGGGCCGGACAGAGTTCCTCCGCGCAGACGCTGCCACCAGTTCGCTCGGACAGGCCAGTGTCGGCACGGCAGCTCCTGCACCTTTCTACACGAGAAGAAGAACCAGGGACAGCCGAAGGAGAAGCAGCAGCAGCAGCAGCGCAAGGGGGATAAGCCACGGGCTGGGCGAAAGAGCCTGTACGAACGGGTAAGCATGATATCTGTCAACTATTTTACCTTCCCATTGCTTTTTTTTTCTCTGCCTGAGCATGCATTGTTTTCTTTCCCCACCCGCTCGACGTCCTTAGGCCGCCTCTGCTATTAATGAAGATATGCATGGAGCAATCTCCGAGCTAACGGGTGATGTCTAATTAGCTGCTCGCTGGCCAACGGGAGGACGAGGACCGACGGGTCATGCAGGCCATTGTCTTTCTGGGCGAGCGACATCTGCTCGACGATCCACCGACGACCTGACATGGTGACGATTCGATTGATAGTGATGCTCGCCTCTTGCTTTTTTAATTTCAGATTTTTTCAGAGAGCTCAATCTTCGATGCGAGCTGGCATCGTTATTATTATTGCGCATCCTGCCGCTGGGCGTTCGATGGGCGCGCTGCCAGTCTGTCAGGGGCCAGCCAGCGTACGACATATAGTGCTAGAATGCTGGTAGTATATGCAGACTAGTGAGAACCATCTCCCCTGTGGATGTAACCACACGACAGGGTGATCCTCCAGTCCCCTTCGCTCGCCCACATCGCACCGTCGCGACCTCCTGCCTTCGCCCGCCCTCGCCCTTTGTCTCTCCTGCTGCTCCGTATCACTCCCCTCTATATACACTATATACCCCCCCTATCCTCCTGTCCTGCCCGTTCCTGTGCTCGAACTTTTCGCCTCACGTGAGCGTGCACAGCCCTGCACGGTTCTCCCCAAGAGAACTAGCCTCGGGCCAACGTCGTGCCGCGCCGCGCTAGACCCAAACAGGGCAGCAAGCTCCCAAAACCGCCTAGTCTGCGAGCCTAGCCATGTGGGCTTGGCGCGCGCAGAGCTCCCCTAAACCCAACTTTGGGCCCTGCGCCAGCCAATCAGCGCGCGCAGCCACAGAAAAGAGCGCTCAAAACGGACAAAGTCCGGGCTCCACTCATCTAACTTTGCCCTCCACGCCAAGAGCAACCACGCTAGGCAAGGGCCAGGGGACCACCGGAGAAAAGTCTATCTGCCTTGGTTGGATTCCTCAAGGGTTCGCCCGCGCCTGCCTAGTTAAATATGGACTCCTCTGCGCCTTCTCTTTTTGCTCTCCTCCTTCCCTCCTTCCTCCTCCTCCTCCTCCTTCTTCTTCTCCCTATTGACAGCCTCTTTGGGATATCGACCGCCGCCGCTCGCCTCCTCCTCACTGTCTCTGTCAACTATTAGTTACTGCAACTACTATAGCTACTACAGCTACTATAGCTACTATAGCTTATCACCAGTTGTTATACAGTTACTTCTTGACAGCTGATCTACACACCCATCTGCAGCAAATATGCGCTCAGTGCTTTACCTCCTCTTTACGGCCGTTGCGGCTGTTGCCGCCTTGGAGAACCCTTTCTTGGTGCCTCCAGGCGGCTACCAGTTCAACACTCGCGAGCCAACAGTCCTCAACTGGCAGCCAACCACACCTGGAACTGTTACCCTCAAACTCCAAATGAGCTCAGACATCACTCCCCACAGTGGCCTAGTCCTAGCTGGTGAGTTATTCTTTCTTCTGGACTACATAATATTGATACTAAAGGGCATTAGCACACCTGGAAAACACCGGCACCTTCACGTTCTTGCCCCCGCCGGACTTGATGCAAAACGGGCTATATACCGTCCAGATTATCGACGATAATGACCCAAGCAAATATAACTTCACCCCTAGCTTCATGGTCGACGGAGCCACCGGAGGCCCAACCACTGGACCAACCACCTCCCGTACTTCCATGACCACCTCCGAGGCCACCACCACCTCCGGCGAGTCAACTACTTCTCCATCATCAACTCGCCCCTCCACTGTCTCACCTACCACTACCGACTCTTCTGACACTACCATGTCGACCGTCACCAGCTCCAGCACCCCCACCACAACAGACTCGACCACTACCTCCGAGTCTACTGCCGTGTCCTCCACCAGATCCTCCTCGACTGGCATGCCAACCAGCAGCGGAGCCCCTGACCCGAACGGCGCAGTCTCCCTTGCTCTGCCAGGTGGCCTCCTCTCTATTGTCCTCTCTCTCATGGCTCTGCTATGATCGGTCCAAAAGCCGAAAAAAAAAGAACATTCCTATTTTTACATAAATTCCCCCTTCCCCGATGGCATTGCACTGCATTACCACCAACCGTTATTATTGTTTAATCAGTAATTTCTCATTTTCTTGTTTCTCACGCGACCTGACCCCTGTACTACCACAATTATCTACCTTTTTGGAATAGGCTTGGATATTCCCTGCTACGGCCCCCTGAACCGGTCGACCCGACTGTTTGATGTTGGATATTCTTCCCCCCCTTTTCTCACTACTTTTATGAACCTGTTTCTCAGGGTACTGATGGTTAAAATGTTCACCCCCGCTCATCATTCTGTCATGCATTATCCATAGCCTGTATGTCTTATTCTACCACTTTTTAATGTTAGGTTAGTGTTGCATGCATGTGTATCCTTACACTGCGTCATGTCTCATCGCAGCAGCCACGCTCAAAAACAAAAAATAAATAAATAAATAATTGTTAATAACGCTTGACCCGTTTTCT